TGACTCCCTCCGACCCGGAAATACTGGCCGCCATGAACCAGGAGGACTTCCAGGGCTTCTCCTTCCTCAACCCGGACTTTGCCCCGTCGCCTCTCACCGCCGTTTGAGAACGGCCTCCACCGTCCACGTGTCCCCAGTCCGCCCAGTCCGCCCAGTCCGCCCAGTGACCCTCCAGTAGTAGTTCTATAGCAGAGACGTGGACCGTGAGAGCTAGCAGCGGCAGCGTTACGCCTCTCATCACCGAATCCTGACGTTTACATGAACAAGCCGAGACACCTTCGATGCACGGATGTAACTCCCTCGTCACAGACTCGACGCTGCAGACTGACGCCATCGTAGAGTTTTTTTATCAGAGTCCTGTAGTCTGAACCTGGTACCTGAACCTCTTTGCATGCAGCTAGTTTTTATAGTTCTAGTCGATCTGAGGACGGTGAACCCGTTCCTTTAACTAGCGTGTTGTGAACATTCAGATCACGTAGACGTGTTTATTACAGTAACTCACTACTCGTGTCTTTCTCACTCCTCTCCGTGTGTTTTAGCTTCCGGCCGAACGGCACTTTGACTGCGACGCAAACTGAGCTGGAGGCCGTTTTTCACGCCGGTCTGTGAGCCTCGTGTCGGCCTCGGCGCTCTGGCCCGACTCGACCTTTCAGCGTCACGACCGGTGACTCGGGATGACCCGATGATGAGCTTAAACGAAGCGGTCGGTTAATGCGGCTGCAGCTCAGAGCGTGTGATGAAGGAAAAGGCTTCACTGTCTCCTTTTCAGTCACATCTTATTCCTTTGTTGTTCCTGAAACAGAACCGGGCCTCTGTTCACTGCAGCTTCACAGCAGCTCGCAGTGAATTCTCTCTTTCTATCTTTTCTTTTGATGCAGACTTTAGAACCTCTTAATAACGTGTGCAGACGGTAACTCGCACAGGTAATTATGACTTTAGCGGTGCATAGCGCGGAGCTTTTTGCTGTGTCATGACGTACTCGCAGCATTGATTAGGAGTAATTAAAAGTGGGGCTCGCCGGGACTGTTCAATACATGGAAAAATAATAGCCGCGCTGCTGCCATTAAACGCTATCTGACCGCGGCAGGTGGCGGATTAATAATCAGAGGTCTTATCTCACAAACCAGCTGGTCATCTATAGTCATCTGAGGAGCAAAAAATATATATAAATATAAATATAAATGCAGAACCCGTTTAACCCAGAAGGCTGGTTTAGCTCAGCTTGAGTTGGAGTCGAGTGTCAGGAACCTTCAGTAGACGTGTGATGATAGATGATAGATAGATAGATAGAGCCGTAGGTGATTCATGTTTGTTTTTAATGTGCTGAAATAAAAAAAACATCAAAATAAACTTTAAAAACAGAAAACCTGAACCGGTGAAGTGTGTCATTCTGTCTCAGTCTTTTGATTTACTGTCATGCACAAGCCTCTCGTGCACGCGCTCAGAAGATGCTGACCCCTCTGTTTGGCTGTCGAACCAGCAGAACCAGCAGAACCAGCAGAACCCGGTCTCCTCCACTGCCTCCCACTC